CCACGGCTAGCCAAGTTTATGCCGTTTCGCGTGGTTTTTATCAAACGACAAAAAACGAAAGGTGGTTTTTGAAGTGTTTTTGATGAAAAACTATTTAAATGTGCCCAGAAGTAAAAACCAGTCATAAAAAGTTGAAAACCACTTGGTTAGTTCGGACGCCAAAAACCAACGCCGAAAACCGAATGCCGAACGCCGGTTTCTGAAACCCGAACGCCGGATGGCTTGATTTTTGGTTTGGGCGAACACCAAGTGTTTTTAATGTTTTAAACATGTTTGAAAAACATTTTTATGATGTGTGAAATGCAATGAAAAGAATTTTAGCCTAAAGAGCCAAGGTGTAAAGGTTGGGTCGGTCTTGATCACAATTATGACCGACTCAACAACACTAAGACTACGGTCTTCGTTCTTGGTCTTCTTTTGGGTCTTGTTCTCTTGCTTTCTTTTTATATTTATTTCTGGCCTTGTATATTCAATAACTTATCTCGTTCACGGCGGTTTGGCATTATCAAAACCTGTCATAAAAACAAACACGGCTTTAGTACGAAAATGTGATAAACCCGTGTTTCAACACCTTTATGATTCAATATTCATCAAAGCATATAGATAGGGCAAGAAAGAGTCGATCCCACGGGGAAAGTTACTTTTTAGGCTATGAAAATCAGTTCACTTGTCACTTTTATTAACTAAAAACTACCTAGACTAACAACTAAAACTAAACTAACAGATATGGGGGGTTTGAATGACAATTCTAAAAAGATAAAAATGCAAATAAAATAAATATAAATAAAAGTGGATAAATTGGGCAAAGGAACACAGCCGTAGCTGCTACTTAGAACAAGGATGAAGACACACAAGGACAACTCTAACACAAAACAACAAACACTTTAAACTTTATAAAAACGTCAACAATAATAATTAACTTAAACTGATTCTGAAAATACTTTATAGTTTTTAAAAAACAATAATAAATTAATTTGTTGTTCAACAACTTGAGTTTTACTTATCTAAATTCCATGTTTGGTTCAAATTCATTCCCTACGTATGGTCTGCTAAGTTGCAAGTTTGCCTAATTTTTTTAGTTCTCTTGTTTTCAAATCTGGTTGTTGGTGCTAATGAGACTCTTGATTTATAAAGACAACTTCTTAGCTATTTTATTCATCAATAACATTGAATCTTTGGCTCAAGAATTCTTGTAGAGTATATTTGCTTTGAAGATGTTTTTAGGCCTTTGTGCCATGGTTGGTTTAAACTCAAAAATGGTGTTTGAAAACTGATTTTGTTTATGTGTGGATTAGATCAATTCAGGATGGCCACCTAAAAATCTAATTCCAAATTGACAGTTTTGATGTCTTAAGTACATTAGTAGCTGAGATTTTCAAAACACAAGTGTAACACCCTAATCCGTCCAGGTCTGTACCCCGTTTCACACTAAAGTATTGATTTGGTAATCGTGATAATCTAAAACATTTCAAACATTTTTTATTCATTATAAATAATATCCCACACATAACTGTAGAGAAATACGGAGTGTTTAAATAAAACGCGGAAGCAATTTAGATCATGTCTCATAACAATATAATTTAAACATTTTAAATCATGTATCCACCATGATCACCTCGCCCCGTTCTGCTGCCAAGAACATGCCAATCACTCATCCTGCCTATCTGCGTGTAGAAATTAATTACATTACACGCTCAGTGGTGAAGCTGAGTAAGCACATCTAAAGCGTCGAAAATCCACACAAATTGAATCTCAATTCACAAACAAGCATTTGATATCATACACACAATATATAAGTCATTCATGATATTCTCATTTTTTTCATTTCAATATCTCAATAATCAACATTCATATTCAATATTCAACAATATCTTTAAACTATGCTTAGTCTAAGGCCAATATTTTTGATGTTTACCAACTCTTAAACTAATTCTAGTTCAAGGTACTTCTATCCAACTCTTAAGCTAGGTCATTAGTTTAAGGTACATATATTCTCGTTAATTTACCAACTCTTAAACTAGCTTTCGCTTAAGGTACAAATCTAGAAAACTGAACAATAGACTACTAACTGTCGGGTTGGGTGGTATCCCCAAACGAGTTCCTCTAGTTTGGTTTATGGATCTCGTACGTACGTTTTTACTCAAGGCCACCGAATATACATATTTATAGCCGCAAGGCCCAATCTAATTTGAGGTCTATC